AGACGGATCGGCACCGTTCGGCTCGGAGACGGGCGGTGCCAAGGCGCCGATCCATCTGCTCCAAAACCGCGGACACGTGGTCAACTTCGTGGAACTGGTGGAACTTAAAACTTCCAAATGGAAGTTCCATTTATTGATGTAGGCTTGACATAGATCTTTTATGATCTTTTAATCGTTTCATGTTTCGTCGACCGCCGTCGACTCTGTCCACGTGCCAAGAACACCCCAACGACACGCCAAGAATCGCCCCAAACCCAGGTGGTCCGGGTGCAGGGCGACGAAGCCCATGGGGACAAACATCCTGGGCGACGAAGCACAAGGAATTGGGCCAGTTCTTCACAAGGCGGTTCGTCGGCGGTCGGCGACGAAGCACAAGTTGGGTCGGTCGGCGGTCGAAAGAGGTCCAAGCATCGGAGCTGCCACAGCCATACCCAAAAGCACTGCGAAAGACCTCGGCGGTCGGACTGAAAAGAGCTGCCAGGACCGCAACATGTGTATACAAGGTATTACAAGATATCATCATGACACGACCTGTCATCATCTACCTGCATGCATTTAATTTGGGAATAGTTTTTTCTTTATGCTAACGGTTCTTTTTTTATGCTGGATTTGGGTGGGTTCTTTTTTTTATGCTAACGGTCTTTTTTTATGCTGAGGGTTTTTATTTTTATGCTGAGGGTTTCTATTTTTATGCTGAGGGTTTTTATTTTTATGATTTTTTATGCTAACGAATGTAATTGTCGCGGGGCTTCAGTGGAGAATGTAATTGTCGCGGGGCTTAGTGAAGAATGTAATTGTTGCGGGGCTTTATTGGAAGGGCGGCGGCTCATCTGCGCACACAGATTTGACTCATCTGCGCACACACATTTTGTTAGCACTTGCGCCTCATCTGCGCACACAGATTTGACTCATGCGCGCACACAGTCCATCGGGGAGACTCAAGTGCGCACACAGGCCCTTTCCCGCATGTTTGCTCACTTAAAAGGGTCGTCAAGATGGAATGGCCACTTCCTCCTCTAAATTTTACCCCTCCCCACAAAAGGGTGAGTCAAGTTGAAATGGCAACATCCTTCTCAAAATTTTACCCTCGGGTGGCTCACCAAAGGGTGAGTCAACTTGGAATGACCCTGCCTTGCCCACAAAAGGGTGAGTCAAGTTGAAATGGCAACATCCTTCTCTAAATTTTACCCTCGGGTGGCTCACCAAAGGGTGAGTCAACTTGGAAGAGCAACATCCTTCTCTAAATTTTACCCCTGCATGGCTCACAAAAGGGTGAGTCAAGTTGAAATGGCAACATCCTTCTCTAAATT